TGACCATATGATTCACCATAGTCAATTTCTTGGTAACCATATGAATCACCATAGTCAATTCCTTGATAAGTATATGAATCACCACAGTCAATTCCTTGATTTACATGTGAATCACCATAGTCAATTCCTTGGTAACCATATGAATCACCATAGTCAATTCCTTGGTAACCATATGAAACACCATAGTCATTCCTGTAGTGACCATATGACTCACCACAGTCTGTTTTTTGGTAATCATATCATCCACAATAACTGTTTCTTTGGTAACCATGTGACTCTCCATAGTCAGTGCCTTGGTAACCATATGATTCATCATAGTTGGTAACCATATGATTTTCCATAATTCCGTTTTAGTCAAGTTCCATCAGCCATGGGTGAAAATGATTCCATACAGTACAAGGGGTCCTAATCTCAAGGCTATGATATATTTTAGCACCAGCCAATACAGTTACAAGTACATTTTGCAGTGTACAGTGTACAAAAACAAAACTGTGTTTCAATTGTATTCTGTAAAACAGTTTGCTTTCACTGAATTTAAATTTACTCTATGTTTTTCTTTAGGTTTGAATTGGCTAATTTTTTTTGTTTAGTGCATTTTTACTTATTCGCTTAAAAGCAAAAGCCAGTGAATAATTAATTCATTTACAGTATGCATGTATATGTTATTTAGTATTTTATTTGAAATTTATTATTTTTATTATTCGCTCTTTCAGTGACAGAATGGTAACAAGGTTTGGCAGAAGGCGACCAATCATGGTAGTTGCCACGCTTGTCTTATGGTAATTATTTCTACATTAGTTATAGATGATTAGTCTGTATGGGTCTTATAGTAGGCATTATGATAATGCTTTGCTTGAAGTGTTTTGGTATTGCTATCCATATGTGGTTGCTAGGCGTTCAGGATTCCTACAGATTCTTAAAAGGTCTTATTTTTATTTGTTTTTACGTTTTCAAGGCCTTGAAAAATTAGGAATACATCATTTTTATTGCAGTCTTAAAAATCTGAGACATTTAAATAGTAACATGCTATCTACTGACTTCAGCTTAACTTTTCAGAGTGTAGACGTTTTTTCCCATATGCAAAAATTTAGATTTAAATTTCCGAAAAAGTGGTCTTAAAAGTCTTGAAAAAAAAAGTCTTAAATGACATGTGTTTACTTAAACTTGCAGAAACCATGGCGATAGACTACTAGAATTTCAGTTCTCCTGAATTGTTCTTGAAATGAAAATAAAAGTACATACAAAAACTTGATATGTTGTGTAATTTTCTTATTGATGTGTAATCATGCGTCTTGTCGAATGACAATCATCAAAATGAATAATTAAAAGTGTTTATATGTAGTATTTATTGTGATACAGTGAGCAGAATATTAATATCATATAAGGGTAGCACCAATTTATATTTGAGGGGAGACAGTAAATGACAAATGCATATCAGAACATATATATACATTTTTACCCGTACCATCAAAGATGGAAGGGAAAGGTATTTTAAGGGAAAAATTTTGTCCGTCGTTGTTGTCGTC